TTAAATTTACTTCTTCCGTATCTATAAAGTAATCGTTTCTTTTCCTACCAAGTCTTGGAGTCGTGTAACGATAATAAACTTTGGCTGTTTATTGCGATGGCGCATGAAATTTTCAGCTGTTTCACGTGGCACTATACTTCAAAAGTTAGGAGACTCCCGATCTAGAGAGCTCGTTGTCCCTGGCGTGCAACACACGAAGCATGCTGGCCAGAAAATCTGGACCAGCGATACGTTCCATCGAGAAACACGAGCGTTGAATTTTGTAAGAGCCGCGATTGAAATCGCATCGGCGAACGGCAACAATTATTAGTAGCAGACGTGCCAGACCCTTTTCTCTGCCTCTCTCCTGACATCTCACCAACCTACGTATGACCTCGATAATAACAGTTATGAAACTTGGCCGCGACAGTGAAAGTGGCGTGTACAGGACGTTTCATAATCCGACGATGTCGCCAAAGCGATGGCGGAGCGAGGCTTCGACCGAAGAAGAGCACGAAAAGAAAGGATATTTGGTCGTTAAACAGTTTCACCAAACACGCCCAGATCGGGGGTAACCTTGTGCGAGCTAGCGTACACGAAAGAGCCAACGAAAAATGAAAGAGAAAAGAGGAGACTCTTTCATCAGTTTCTTTGAAAGTGAATTTCACAGACGCCTGCAACCTTCGGCTCTCGCGAGGCTGAGAGCTGGGTCTCTCCGGACCCGAAGTAACGAGGACACGCGATGCTTCGATCAACGTTTGTTACAATTGTATTTTTATAAACTTTATTTTCTAAAGGATTACGATATATATATATATATATATATATATATATATATATATATATATATATATAAGAATGTTAGAAAAAAGATGTCCGAAATTCACGACGATCCGTACCCACTTGGCTTATTTCGACGGACTCAGGACGGACTGAGCTTTAAGGAAAAACAGAAATTTCCTTTTCCTCGAGACTCGAAAGTGGCAATCGTTGCATTCCAACAACATTTATTTTCCCGTAGAAGATGCATCGAATTAAATGAAATGGGATGAACAGTACAAAAGGCAACAATTACTTCGCGGGCCTGTATATAACGAAGTAATTTCTGTTTCGAGAGATAAAATTCGCGGAATGGAGGGTTAATGATACAGATGGCATTTATTTCCAGCCTCTCCGTGGCTAGCTGCAAAGTATCGTCGGGCTGACGAGCGTCGAAACAATATTCTCGTTAACTCGTTTGGTATTCGAGCTCCGCCAAGGGGAAGCGTGCCCCCGTTCGAATTAACGCTCGTCAACGGAGGCTCGGGGACCCGAGGGAAGTTCGTGCTCTTCAGAAAACGCGAACGAGATGCATGAAAGTCGTAGGAGCTCGAGGCCTTCGACGGTGCACCGCGAAAAACGACAATTTCGTGGTACGTTGACAGAAAGAGCATGATTACGCGTAGAAAGGAAAGAAAAAAAAAAAAAAAAAACAGGGAAGAGGGAGCGGAATCAGCCGAATATACCGTGAACGCATTTTCGAGGGTGGTTCGTTGCACTCTCCCTCCCTCCCTCCCTCCCTCCCTCGTGGTAAAGGGTGAAATCTGCAGGAATTGCTAGGTAAAGACGACGAGATCTGGCGAAGTTGCGCATTCACCCTCGAGCACCCAGTCATCCTCTCGTCTCGGGGATATTTAATACACCGTGGCGGAGTTAGGGTTTCCACTTCCAACCGCGAACTCGGCGCGGTGAATAAATGCACGAAGCCATGAGAAATTTTCAAGGAAGGGTTGCTCTCGATTCGACCGGTTTTATCGCGCGCGCCAACGATCCTGATCGTCAGAAAGTATTGCAAAACTCCCGGGGCGCCGCCACGGCGACAAATTGAACTGTTACGGGTGAAACTCGGACCTGTCGGACCGTCACCCAATTGTTATAGGTAATCGTTATAGTTAGTAGTTATTCCGACAAAATTTTGATACTTTGTACTTTCGTGTACTTTTTGACTCTGAATTTTCCGATGGAATGTTTAAGCAATTTTTGGGGATTTTTCGATCCGAGATCTTTTTTTTCCAAAAATCCAAAGAAATCGTTTCGATGTTCGATCCGAGATTTTTTGCAAATAATATTTTGTCAAAAATGCAAAAAAAAAAAAAAAAAAAAAAATAAATTATTTAAACATGTCTCTGTTTACGCCATTGAACTCAGCGTGATAAAAGTACGTGAAATTACAAAGTCACAAAATTTCGTCTCAATAGCTACTGGTTGGCTAATGTTGGTCGCGACGGCCTCTCTTAAGGGGTAAAAACAGCCCTTGAAGTTGCGAATGACGTACCGTGACGAAAATCGTCTCGAGCTCGAAGGGTTAATCCTCTTTGGTCTTCGTTCGTCCAAGAAACCGCGCGAGAAGAATGGCGGCATTGTTCGCGAGTTGTTCACCGTTCAACGTGTTTACGAAGCGTCGTCCAAATCCGGGAAAGAGTATTGCGTACAAATTGTTTTTCAAAGAAACAGCGAGGGATGTGATCAATTGCACGTGCGAGGGGAACAATGGCGATGTTGCTAATGTTGCGACTCATTGTCTCAGCACACGTGCCACGCAGAAGGATCTACTTGGGTGGCTGGTTGGCATACACGTAAGGATCGTGTGCCTGTGGATGTTCTAAACAATCTAAACGTTGGGAAGAACGAGTGTTCGACACTCGGAAGAGACCGAATGTACAAGACGTTGTAAAGCTTTAAGTACGCACGCGGCAACACGTGTTCACGAAATTGTTAATTTTCCATTGGATCGTAATTCGCGTTACGTACATTTGAGGGTTAGCGTCTCGCTTTTGCGATGTAAAAATGTTAAATGTTCTCGCGTAGGCGTAACAGTCGCGATACGAAAGCGAAACGGGTCGAAAAAGGAGGAGAGGGAATATTTCAACAATGAAGCATTATTTAAACCGACGTACTCGTTTGCGTGCGATACCACGCATATGGAAGGCATCGTAGTCGAGATAAAAGAGTTCCATGAGTCATAGACGTAGAATCTTGACTTGATGATCGTAAGTGATCCTTGACGCTTAACGGCTCCACGACCTCGATTTTGGTAAAATAAGCGGAAATTGGTTAAGCGTCCACAGACACGGGTTTGTGACATTGTATGAGGCAGCGAAATATCTGACAATAGGCCTCGAAGCTGAAATGATCGTTTTCTGAAGCATTCAGGTCCGATTATATCGCAGACAATTTCCAACATCGTTTTTAGAAATAATCGAAATACTTCCGTACGTTTAAATCGTATGAATAAGAACCACTATAATTAGAGAACACTTCCTCTCAAACATTCCTGTTAAATATTAAGGCACTGAAATATCATTTTAACCTCACAAATTGTGATCGGTCGGTTTTCATAATTAATCGCAGATCGATTGAAACGTACGAGTTGAAGCGTGACCAATTTAAATCCGATAATTCTAACATCGTTATTCATGTCGTAAATGTCGTTTAACGTCTATCGTGGAAGAACTAATTGTAAGTTTGTACGAGAGTAAAAGGTAATGATCGTCGAAGAAATGGACAGACCACTCCGTGAGATTGGTTTGCATGTAGAAAGTGAAATCTCTGCGTAAATGTCGTTACACGATATTAGTCGAGAAACGATGGAAAAATAAAGAGGAGTCAACAAAGTCAATAATACAATTTTATACATTGATATTAACATATAGCGTTGTGAAATAATAATATCCATCGTTTTCAGCAGAACGAAATGGTAATCGTATTGAATATTTGATTGAATATTCGCGATGGGTAGCTGTCGCTCAATTGAATTGCGTAGTAATTCGATTTAACATGGCTGCCATTTGAACTAGACCCGTAATTTATTAAATATTATTCAGAACGTTCGGAATGCTCGTTAAACAGCAAAAGAATGCTAAATGATGATTTTTTTTCTTAAACTAGCACAGAGAATTCCGATAATTATATATAGATAATTCCGATAATTATGACTATATGTGACAATAGTCAATAGCACATGTCATCCATTATTAACCTTAACGGGTTAAACGACTAAGTCTCGCGTCTCAATGACACGTACAAAAAAAGAAAACGTCAATTTATTTTCCAACACAACGATAACTTCGAAACTATCGGATGTAGTATTTACGTAATTTAGTTCTGAACGTGGTAGAACGCGATTGTACGTATGTACATTATCTCAACTTGCTTTGCAAATAATTCTTTGAATGTCACGTCGTACTTACATAGCGATGTACTGGCATTTCTGAGACTATTCATCGATGGAACTTCTATTTCGACGCAGTTTCATTTAGAACAAGAATCACCACAAAACGTTAACTAGAATTCGTACTTTTAAAGAAATACTACAAACTACTCAAACAGACTCGAAAACTGAATATCGCAAGGACGCCCTCTAGCGAACAAAATGACTACTGATCCTAAACCATTGCAAAATGGAGTCTGTCGATAAAGACAGTTGCTGTACTTTTCCTTACGAGAGAAAATACAAAATTTTATTCGATATTTAATGAAGTACTGTTGCAAAATATTTTTATCATTATTGATCCTGAATTATGAATTACCAAATTTGGTATTGTATTGTCGTAAAAATAAACCTATATAAATTCAAAGAAAATTTTTATCACAGTAAGAAAATAGTTAATTGAAATATGAAAAATGATTAAAAAATAACAACACTGCCTTTGATTGTGGTGAAACAAAGATTATAAAACAATTTGATGAGAACACGACCATATTTCATTCTTCGCGTTCTACTTTGAAAAGGCATTCAATTTTAAAATACTACCACTGAGCTATAACTTTGCAATAATATCTTTAGTAACTGCAATGCATTAAGAAAATAAATGTTTAATCACGGTGTATGTTAGTTTATAGAAAAATGCAATTTATAAAATCAAATATCAACATCGGAAAGAATTCATTGTTGTGGGAAACAATGCTTCATATCGTATGATGTATCAATGTCAATATTAAGATAGCTTATCACAAAATTAAATATATATTAACTGACTCACCGAAAGAAGTGTGCGAAAGTAACAACCGCTCTACCACAGATGTACTCATAGATTACCTATAACAAAAAAGTGTTATCTATAATTAGATCAATTCAAATCTCAACTTTTATTTTATAAATGTTACGTATGTACTATATTTGCATTTGAGAACTTAAACAATAAAAATATCGGAAAAAATAAGAACAAAAGATAAATGAATATTAATATATTATAAAACAGAAATGAGAGTCAATAAAATTATATCCTTTCATAAATTTACCTATACTAAAATATACTTAAAGTGTCTGATAGTGAAAAAGAACTAATTGACACTGTTAATGACAAAAAAAGAAAGATCTATAGAAATTCACAACTGTAACTCACTAAAAGCCAAGAGAATATTTTATTCATTGTGTGTACTGTACTATACTGTATTGTCAAAGCTGTACGCAAATGATTTAATATCTAGTCGACTAAAGCGATTATGTACTCAATCATTGTATACTTGCCAAAGTCAAGGTCGTCCAACTTGCCATTGTAAGGTCAAGTCATCATGTTTACAATGTCAAATCGGAATTGTAATTGACGCGACGATCCACACACGCACATGTTCGCGCACAAACATATCCAACGAGCTAACAACAGTGTTCGTAGCTAAAAAAAGGCAGAGCATCCCAGCGTAACTATGTAACCCCGTTATAAAAATTCGACCACGAAAAAGTTAGGTTAGCGTTCGAACGTAATCGAATAACAAGCCGGTAACTGCAACCACGTTTCTACGATCGTATTTCTAATGTGTTCACAATATTTCACGCGGTATCGACAGTTATTCAGTTTTATCTCGATACGAGACTACATGTAATAGCAATTTTTAGAAATATAATTACCTATCGAATCATAGAATAATAGCGTTAATAACGAGCTTTCGTTCATTTAACCTTAGCCTGCGCGTAATTCCGTTTACGACCTAACGTCTCTGGCATCTTGTTGTTATTACCGTGTTCTATTCATTAACCGGCTATCGTGTCATAATCACACGCAAAAAATAATTCACAATGTTACCGTTGGCGCTTCACTTCTGCGTGGTACTTAGGAGTTGTTTCTTACCCGTTTAGAAATTAGACACCAATCAAGTCTTCATCCTTTTCGGACAAAGATCTTGGTTGGCACTGGAGCTAGTGACTTTCTCTTAGATGGCCAAGAATTATTTTAATCTGATATACTGTCGCTTCTTGATATAAATTCTACAAAACGCTGCGTTTGTTCTGCATGTTGATTACTACTTTATTACAAAACAGGATACTGTATTAGTACAGTACTCTACTTCAATATTAGGTAAATTTATATTCGCATTAAATAAGTAAAAATACAACTGTTCGATCGAAATAAGTAATTAATCAACTTATTCTCCAAGTTGAAAATATGCCTATAAATGTACAAAATGTTACGGAAATACGTCGAGTCGTTCTGGCTTTATGACGAAATAATGAAAATATATGTTTGGACTTTGGTATTAATAGATAGACAGAAATATCTAAAATTGAGAGAAAACAAAACAAAATTATAACAATACACATCTCTACAAATTAATTTATTCGTATAGATGAGACTAAAATGCGCCAAGGTGATTCAGCTTCCTACTTGAGAAAATTGACTTTGAATACTGCCGAATCTGCGCACACTCCAAAATGACGACTCTGAGATAGGCTCAGGGCCGCCACGTAATTTACCGTGCCCAGTGCAAAATAAATGCACGTTCTAATATTATATTAAAATTAATTATTTTCGTAAACAAATTTTATTTTTCTTGCAAAGTATTGTATAAATTACATATTTTTTAAAAATAAATATTATGGTATGTTGAGATTCATGTAACGATACTTTACCTTATCTTAATATATACAACTATCACGGCTCGTGCTCTTCGAGAAATTGTTTCAAAAGTCCGTTGGTTAAAGGAATTACAAGATGTTCCACGCTATCGATGTTACGTTTTACCTTCACTAATTTGTGATCGATAAATTCAGTCAATTGTGCTCTCAATGCTAAATCTGAACTTACAAGAAATCCTTCGCGTGCGGCTCGATAAAGATCTTTGAATGCCATTCCTAATAATAAAAATAAAAGTTAGTGATTTTAAGACCTCTACAATTTTATCATTACGAAATATTTAACATAGAATATTACCAGTAAAATTAGCATTGCTGCTGTTGCTAAGTTGATATTTTGCAAGAAGTATGTAGACTGATTTAGCATTCGAAGTTAAAGAAAGGAAAACGTTATGAAGAGATGACAAAGCAAGTGCACCACTTTGTTGCACTAAGAGCGAACTTTCGTAAGATGTTTCTTCTTGGTAAGACATAAATGTGGTTGTGTCCCACCAAAAGAAATTATATTTTGAACGTTTTATGTGATCCCATACTGTAAATCCAGAAATATGTAAAAACATGATTGAAAATAAAGCGAAATAAAAGTAATATAAAAAGCAATTAAACATACACAACGGTGTATTGACATGATCGACTGACGCCAAGACACAAACATTTGGTATGCTTGCAAGACAAGAGAGTATATCTTGAGCTTTATTTGATCGTAACATTATACCATCTATGTTATGTATTAATAGGTACAGCCTATCTTTCGGATTTTTCTTCATTTTTCTTTCTATAAGATCTATACATTCGCTCGTATTAGCGGGACAACTTAACTCCAATAAATCATTAATTATACCATCCAATATCTGAAATACATTGTGAAATCTAAAGTAATTGTATTGTTTGAATTCTTCACTTCTATTTGTATCACTTACATCTTTCACAGTCAGACTGGGAAAGAATCCATTCACTATTAATGATGGATGATAAGATATACCTTTATGAAAATTATTAATTAAACATCTTTTCGATCCTAAACCATATAGCAATACTGTATACCCTTGTCTAAAATAAAACAGTATATTAGATTATGTATTGAAAACAACCATTTTCGATACCTTACTTGTTCTTAATACTTACTCCATGATAAAGTACCACATAGGAAATAATGTAGCATAGCTTTCAGTTAACGAGTAAATATTTTTCTTATGTTGCATAGATACATCATTTTGACTTGCTAATAACTCTTCTAGCTTTTTCTTTGTTAACCGAGAATTATGTAGGCGCTCTAACGTTCGATCAGATGTAATTACTTTTTCTGATTGAGTTTCGAAATATTCATCACTTTTTATATGCTGTGAAAACAAAGTATAAACTATCATTATGTCCAATTTATTTAGTTAAATTATATCAATATTTAGGATCTACTTACAAAATCTTTATGAATAACTGCAGGCTTATTTTTGCTACATGTTCTTTTCGGTGTGCTCAATAAATTTGAGTGAAACATAAATTTCTGTTTTGCACCTTTTGGTTTAATTTCATCATTACTATTATCAGAACTTAGGCTTCCACTATTCTCATCATCTGTATCCTCATCAGATGGTACAAAATCGCTAGGCTCAGAAACGCTTTCACTTTCACTAGAAGTTAGGTCAGGCATATATCTTCTTCGAGTAACTGGAGCTGATATTTAAAAATATGAAAATTAATACAAAAGACCAAAATATTTTTTATTCTAATAAATAAAGAAGAAAGTATACCTTTTGCATGAGAATTTTTATTATTTGTTTTTAATGATCCCCTTGTATCCTCATTTAGCCTTTCAAGAGAAACTATTGGTATAAGTTCTTTTCCTTTTTTTGAAGTAACTGGTGTACGACATAAATTTGCCTTTTCCGACATAGCATTTTTTTTACTAGGAGTTTGGAATCCATATAATGTTGCACCACTGACATCATTGTTAGAAAACAATTCTAAACAAATAATGCCTGATTTAATATCGAAAAACTATAATAATTTGTAATTGTTAAATAAAACATATCCTTGAAAAATTACCAACTGGTTTTTGTGCAATCACTTCAATATTTTCTAATTCTTCTTTCGTTATAAGCGTCTGGAGGGTAGGTTCATTCCCTTCATCTAACTCCGTATATTTTTTATGTTTCCCTTCTACAATATAGAACGAACAATTTAGAAATTAATTAATTATTTGATATTATTATGTTTTTCAATGCGTCGTTAGATCGTTACCTTTAATGCGAATTTGTATTCGAGTAGATCGTCGCAAGTTCTCGGTAGCGGACATATTATAAATATTTATAAAACAATGCAACGAAAATCCAAAATAAAGTAGGCGCTTTTAGTTACATAGAATCAACAAGTATGTTAAAGTCAGGTGTTGAATGTTGTGTGTAAACACCATTTTATGCCAAAACTACGATGTTACAACCGGTCACAACTACTGATGCTAAATGTCATGTGATACCATGTAAATCGACGGTTTTCGAACTGTTTACAAAGAGCCCCTTAAAAAAGAGACAATTGCAATCATGAATGTATATCTATACAGATATTTCCCAATGATAAGAAGAAACTGAAATTTAATAAATTTAATAATGCAAGATAAATGTAAATAGAAAATGCTAAGTTATTCACAATTTTCTAGATTGTAAATTTTCGCGCCTTTTTAGATTACATGGCGTCCCCTGTAGAAGTCATGCATTCTACTTTAGAAAACACTAGTATAAACAATTAATATTTTATAATTACATTAAAGTATCGATAGTAATTCCAAATCATTTGATGAACAAATTTTAGTTACTTCATCAATGTAAAAAAGACGTATAAACGATTGCAATGAAACTAATAAATCTAAAATTACTATATCACATGTTTATTTAAAAACTTCCATTAAATGTATGAATTTTAATTAATAAATTCATTTTTTGAATCCGATAATAGGAAACTTCGTGATACCATATGGTAATTGTAAACCAGTCTTCATTTTCGTATAAATGGTAAAATCATGTAGTAGTTGATTCCGATCTACATTCGTTTTAGTGCATGGCGTTGTTATTATCGTCAAAAACTTTTAGAATAATATCTAGTGTACACTGTAATTTTTGTATCGTGCATACTTATATGATTATTTAGTTGACGTTAATGCTGAAATATTCAAGAAATGAAGAAACCGCATACTATGCATTATTAATGCTTTATCGAACTTCGTTTGATGAATTTAAAGATAAGGTATCATTTTAAAGGGCAGTAGATAGCAGGAAACGTAACTTCAGGTTTGTTTACGCATAATGACTGACTTGGATGCAGATGATTGTTTAACGAAATTGAATACTCAACTGAATAAATCTATGGTTCTGATGGATACATCGGTAGAAAATGATGTACAGCCAAAAAGTAACAGATCCATAAAAATTAATACAAAAGTTCAGCCTGGCAATGCTTTCAATGTTTCTCCCGTGTCTAGAAAAAGTATTTTGAAAAGAACTGATTCTAAAAATAATGAAAAACAAAATAGAATAGAAACAGAAAATACAGAAAATAACAAAGAAACAATTAATCATGATAGAACGTCGACAAATACATCAACTGTTCCTAGACCACATACTGTAAGCAAAACTCAATTTATAAAATTTTGATTATTGTTTTCCACATAGTCATTGCATTCATTTTATTTTAGATTGATGACCTGATACAAGCAGAAAATTTAATTCCAGAAACAACAGATTCTACATTTAGTTTGGATGATATATTGGATAACGAAGATGTGTGGATAATGGACATTCCTAGAACAGTGAGTCAAATGTCCTTAAGTATTTAAAATATAACCAAAGTTACACAGTAAATGTAAATTTTATATATCTTGTAGATAGATCCACAGGAACTCAAAGGTCAAACATTAGTGTTTGGAGATAAAACAAAATTTAAAATTAAAGAAGAACGTTATTATGCAGTGAATCACAATGTTAAATGTAATATAACTTGTGTACTTAACACTGGCAAGATGAAATCACGATATAAAACCAGTAATTTCTTTTTTTTCTTCAATTAAAAATATGCTCAATGAGTTTCACTAGTAGCATAATATTTCTTTGTTTGCATAGTTAACGTGAAGCCAGCAGGTACAATTACAGTTAGGCGGAAGCTTTCAGGTATTTCAAAGACTAAGCCAATGCAAATAGAAGATTCAAGTGTACCGTTTCCTACAAACTTGAAAACTCGTCATCCCTTATTCGGTGTAAGTTACGAAGGTAAAGTTCGAAAGTGTGCAATAAAGTAACTTACTTTAACAAAAAGATGGTAGTAGCCAAGAACAATATTGTATACTATACTGTGTTTCAAAATTATGTACCATAGATAAATTGTATATTATACTATTCATAAAGGCGTGCATGCTCATCTTTTTTACGAAAGGTTAAATATCATTAACATTAAACATATTCCACGAATAAATTACGTTCGGTGTGTTATTTTAATTTGGATTTTACAAATGAAAAGTAAGATGTACGACCAGATTCATACATTTATAAAATAAAATACGATAACATGATTTTAAATACCATTGAAACTGGAAAAGATGTTATATCCTGTGCCAACAATAGATATTGTAATTATTCCTACTAATTATGTATATATATATTCATTCTTTGGCTAATTTATTTAAATAGTTTCAACAGAATCTATTTGAGAAGGTAAACTCTTTGAAACAAATAAAAGATTAAAGATGGTTTGCTTTTTAATTAGAAAAGAAATTTGCCCTCTGAAGTAAATATTTGAATATGAAATACTTGGAATATTCCTAGCACTAGTTTTAATCGACACTAGAGATATTTATCTTTAACTATTGGCAGCACTGCCAGATCGGTTACCGATTATTTCCGGATACGCGGTAAATATGAAATCGAGAAAATCGTGAACACAGAAATTCGTAGTATAACCTAACTCGTCGCGGTGAATACTCTGATTAACATTCACAGGCAATATAGTAACTGTTCGAATAGAATAAGAAGAATCTAGGGCAAAAATTTGTCGCGTATGATAACACAATCGAAGTTGCGTCGACATGCGCTTTCAGAATCCTTTACCTATTCGCCTTTCTTTAAATACCAGTGTATGTAACGTCCGCTTCTGCGCAGTCGCGGTGCGCATGCGATCAGATCTTGGAAGACTGTACAAAAATTTCCCAGTACAGAAAAGAGATTTGTTAGTGGAAAAGTTGTAACGTAAGTAAACAAGGGCCGAGAAATCTGAACTGACGAATGCGCGTAGTTGGCCTCATAGTCAACGAAAACAGTGGTGCACGCGGTTTCCGTGGCACAACGACCGTTGAAACAGTTACCCTATTGAACGTAGTTAAGGTTAAACGAGCCAAGTATACCCTGTAACCAGTCCAGGGTATTTAGCAACCCCTCTGGCGACAAATCATTCAATCCTTTGTGACGTTCGCGGCGAACCATACCATGTTAATCGGGCTACCGCAGTTTCCTTTTACATAAACTGTACCTTGAGAGAAACTTTGTGTATTTGTTTAGAGGGGACCACAGTTGTTTGGGCTCCTACTAGAGTTACGTTTTTCAAAAAGTACGTACGTACAAAGGGACGTGAGTTTTTCTTTCACACGCAAGATCGAGACACAACGATCATTGGCTAAAAAAGGACGAAACTAACGATGGCATCGTTCTATCTGTTTTCCTTGTTCTATGTCCATCTCTTTCGCTTTCGCCAACACCTCCCCCTCTCTCCTCGCCCCTTCCCCTCCTCCTATGATTGCTCTCTTCTCCCCCTCTGCCTCCGCCACTCCTTTCATTACTTCCATTTCTCATTCTCTCGTCGCCACTAGCCTTTTCTCTCCTTCGAAATCGTATCGCGAAACGTTTCGAGAGTCCATCGTCCTTGCTTATACGGATAGTCGTATTCGAAGCTACGGAGAATTTACGTGTCATGCCCCACCACCGTCGATTTTTCACGGATTTTCACGTAGGTTTCTGCTATGGCGTAGTACCCCTCTCACTCGCTCCCTGACGTTTCCTTCGCTTCTCTCGACGCCACCAACAGCTGTTTCGTCCGATCGTCGCCCTCTCGTATAGTTCCCATCTCGTTCGCAGGAGCGAGAGAGAAAGAGAGAAAGTGAGTGGGAGAGTGGAGACGGTGGCCCTACCGCAAGTTTTTCGACGTCGATCTCAAGCTCGCGTAGGAAACTTGTCATTTGTACGTCCATCGTGGGGCGTACACAATCATTTCGCATCGCTCGAAATCAGCAGCGTCCTTTGTTTGTTCACCGTTCGTCTGACAGCTCCTGTCAAACGGACCTTTCTTTTCCAACTGTTCGTCAAATCTGTCAGCGAAACAGTCACCGTTTACTCCGCGAGAAAGGATTCCGCTCCGATTCGTTTCTTTTGGGTACGCGCTAATTCGAAAATAACTCCACAATACCGCGGGTTTCGAGCACCGATTGTGAAACGTTCGCGAACTTTTACGATTACACGGTAAAGCGTGGAATTCCACGATAAACGGCCGCTAGCGTTTGATGAGACGTCTGACTCATAACACTCTCACCGTACAACATATTAACGTACCGTAATTCGTTTCAGATTGTGCAAGGATACCAGTGTGTAAGAAGTTACAAGTACAGTCAATTACGTAGTATCGAGGCATTGCTAGAACTTTGCACGTAAGTATATTCTATTCGTAGAGTGCATGTACAAGAAGAAATCTTCAAAATATTAGGACACTTGCTACGGCCAGTCTCATACTTGTGGTAGCAATGATTTATTTATATTTTTATATATTATATTATATTCTTGTATCTGCATAAAACAATGAAGTATGTTACTTCGTCCAGCTGGAAGTTACAAGTTGTACACAAAATGTATGTATCTATGTGCAGGACTTACAAATAGGAAAATCTTGGTAACTTACCATATTGTGTGATACAAAAGTTAGTAACGAAAATGTCAGTATTGAATCAAAGCGGAGATGATGCTGTAGAGTGTCCTTTGTGTATGGAACCATTGGAGGTGGATGATTTGAATTTTTTTCCATGCACTTGTGGATATCAAATATGTCGTTTTTGCTGGCATAGAATTCGTACCGACGAAAATGGTTTGTGTCCTGCTTGTCGGAAGGCCTATTCTGAAAATCCTGCTGATTTTAAGCCTCTCAGTATGGAAGAAATTGCAAGGTTATTGCTCATTCTATTACCCATCATTTATGCATCGACATACAAGCATTGGAATAATTCATATTTCTTTTGTTAGATTAAAAGCTGAGAAGAGATTAAAAGATCAGCAACGTAAGCAGAGAGTTACAGAAAATCGTAAACATCTAGCAAATGTGAGAGTAGTACAAAAAAATCTAGTATTCGTAGTAGGATTACCGTTGCGGCTTGCGGACGCTGATGTGAGTACAAATACGAAATAAACAAAAGTTTCCTCGTCTGGTACAATGCTATAAATTAAATATTGTTTCTATAAAAGAAGCTTGAGTAGCTTTGTTTGTAATTTTCTTTCAGGTATTAAAGCGGCATGAATATTTTGGAAAATTTGGTAAAATTCACAAAGTTGTAATAAATCAAAGCACTTCCTATGCAGGGTCTCAAGGCCCTAGTGCTTCGGCTTACGTTACCTACCAAGTAAGTTACCAATTTCTTCTTTCCATAAGGTCTGTGTACATTATCGTATTTACGTATACTTCATATATTTTTAAATTCACGTAATATTAGCGTCAAGAAGATGCATTACGTGCTATAGAGGCTGTAAATAATGTTGTTATGGATGGTCGAACAATAAAAACGTCACTAGGAACGACAAAGTATTGTTCACATTTTATGCGCAATCAGCCATGTCCGAAACCGGACTGTATGTATTTACACGATCTTGGGGACCAGGAGGCTTCGTTTACGAAGGAGGAGATGCATCAGGGAAAACATCAGGAGTATGAACGAAAGCTCGTGCAATCGTTACATGCATCGCATGCATCTGCTCAACGGTATGTTATCCTTCCTTTTTTGTATTTAATTAATCATACTCCAAATAGTTCACGCGTAGTCAATTCGAGTAAAATATTGTTTTTATGTTACGCAGGAAACCAACGCCATCGCCATCGGTGACGGGTAGTATTGTTCGAGAGAATGGAAGTTCAAATTCTCAAGCTAAAGAAGCTTGGCCATCGTTACAGACTGGACAGACAAATAGTAAGTTCTGTGCGAATATACAGTTAGATCTTGGTAAATCGAAATTAAAGGAGAACGATAAATGTATCAAGTTATCGAGGTTTCGACTTGTAGATAAGCAGTTATGACTTATGAAGATATCTAAATCTGTTAAGATTGATTTCATTGTTAATTGATTTCCTTGCGTGTTCACAGGCACACAAATAAATTGTAAAGAACTATCACCGCCGTCACAAGCAACATCGCAACCGAACAACATAACGAATGGGAGTGGTACAACAAATCAACAAAGTCACGTATCGTCTGGTGGCTCTACGCATCAACAGAATAATAATAACAAGGGTGAAAGTATCAATTTACGAAGAGGCAAAAGTAATAGTGAAAGTAAAGCACAAGCAGCGAGGAATAAACATAAAAATTGTCAAAATAAGGAAAAACATAGTACACGAACAACGTCACGGTCCGAATCGAGCTCAATCGGTGCGCAAACCAATTTACAACCACAAATTAATGGGCAGAAGGATATTCGAAACTTTTCGTCTGAAACGAACAGTGATGTGTTGCAAAAATTGGGTAACAAATGTAAATCGGAACAGCAACAACCACCGCAACAACAGTCACCGTCGCAACAGCAACAACAAAACAATAAAGGATCGAAATTAGTTCAGCAGCAGCAACCGTCTCAAGAACTTAAAGTAAACGGAGTAGTACAAAATGGGGAACGACGACATTCGGATAGTGAGACAGATCAGCAACGCGAAGGTAGTACACCGGCTAGTACAATTTCGAGTACGGAAGATTCGAATGTGAATCAACAAGTAGAACATTTAGCAGAATCGAGCGAGGAGAACAGTGGTGCTGCTATTTTGGGTGAGTTCCTTATATTCGTGATCATTTCCATATGTATTGATTTTCTGCTTTTAAAATAAATACATAAGACGGTCGAATTCATTCCGATATCGATTTTAAAAAAACGCGAACAAACGGTATACGAAAACGAACAAAATAGAAAAACGTAAGCGAACAAATAACATCTTTCATAAAAGTATTACTCAAAATGTATGTTTAATACGGAACGTTCATGGAACTAAAGTTGACATGAATTTTTGATTATGTGTTTGGAGGACTGGAAAATAAAGACCAAACTTAATTTTTTGTTTTATATTAATTTTGAGAAATGATCTAACTCGCGGTTTTAGCCAATGAGTATTTATTCAATGTTGCCAATTACTTATTTTTAAAAAAATATAACGAAATTCAGTATATCCATCTCGAAAGTAGGAAAGAACTTGGATTGTTGATTTTACTGAAAAGCTAATAAAGGACTACACATAGTATCTACATTAGTTCAGTCATTTTAACTAACATCATACAGAGCATTTGTTATAACTCACAAGTCAGTCTAAAATTATATCTATTTCTTATAACATGTGTTATACGTTTGTATATATTTGAAATACAAAGAATAATAACTTCTAAGTAATGTATAGTATTATTGATGACATACAAATGTTTCTAACTATGTCTCATAACTGTAGAATAGAATTTAAATCGTTATATATGCCAAAATAAAGAGGATTCTTTGAAAAAAAAATTAGTAACTGTTTTTTGTGTTTGTCTACAAACTTGACTTTATCCTCCTTGCGAGTTATATCATTCAGGCACATATGTACATTAAGTGCCTGGAAAACATCTATTTCTCTTTATCTATTTATACTGCTAATGTTAACGAAGGTTTTATTTTATCCATAGATATATAACCATCGAGTCTATGTCATAAGCACATTTTCCAGATACACTTTTTTGCATTCTTGAGGTTCATTAACAGTGGCAGAGGAATACTGTTAGAAGCTGTTTATTCTGGCATTGTAAAAGTACCAAAATAATTTGATCGCGTCTCGTAGTGTAGAGATTTGTGCGTATCATCTGTAGGTTCCTCTCCAGCTAGCACAAATTCATCGCAAGGTGCCAATCAACAACCACCACCAGGACTACATAATGGATCACAAATGCAACTTAGTCATCGGTCGATCTTTCAGGCGGACAATAACAGCTTCTTCAGTTCAAATACTTTCCAGAAAATCTCTACCACCACCTCAGTGCCACCTACTTCTTTAACAGGCATGTACATGTTTTTCTTTAGTGGTGTGAATCTTTTTACTTTATAATATATTCCATTGTTAAAGAAATTTTCATAAAGAGCTAGATGAACTTTATATACTTTATTATTACTTTTATTATTTGTCTTTCTGTTTCATAACATTTTGTCAGTGTGTTCCAGAAAGTATATAAAATGTGTAATGTTTTCTAAAGCACCCTAATATGCAAAAAACGTATACAAAAAGTTACAATTATTTTCTCTTGGATGTATAGCAAACTCAAATCTGAATTGGACAAGCACAGGCTTAGCTTCAATCCCCGATTCGTTGCCAATGGTTCAGTCGACCGAAGACTGGCAGGCAGCTTTTGGTTTTCAACCGGAACAATCACGAACAAATCATGTACAAAAATCCAGTCCTTCGAGTTCACCAGGAGTAACATTCAATTCTGAAGGTTTCGTAGACGAAGAAGTTTACAACAATTTACAGTATACCACACTCTCAGAATCCTCTGGTACTTTTACATCCAGTTTACTTGTTAACTCACCTGCATCCAAATTTATGGCAGACTTCCAGCAAAACTCATTACAACAAAGGCTTGCCCTGCAGGTGAGCAATTCGAACAGTTCTCAATCCATTATAATATTAGATTACTCCAATTTCTTTCTACTATAGTATTATATTAAGTTAAATTATCATAATGGTATGAACTATGTAAAAAATCAAACATTGATTGGCTTTGAAATATATTTTGATTTTTCTGCTCAATATAAATTAATGCGATAATTGTAGAATTATAGAATGTAAATTTGTTAGTTTCATGAGCAATTGTTACACAGTCAATCGTGTTTCATTATGATGTTCTGGCCTTACACAGAAGGCTCTTTTCAGGTACGATTTGTTCAGTATAATTAATAACCACGATAACTGTAATTTCCTAAGGCGCAACAAAACCAAGAGAATTGTGAATACATAAAGCAAAACGGTCATGCTACTCTGGAGGAAGTTCGGAATCATAAAGAATCTGGTTCAGATATCAAAGCGGACGATGACTTAGGTTTTGATCCCTTTCACGAAACGCAAAAAGCTCTGGCTGAACTTATGGAAAACGAAATGCAACTCCAACAACAAAGGTTGTTTCAGCAACAGCAACAACAGCAAAGAGAAAGAGAAGAACAAAATAGGATACAGCATCAACAGAATATTGCAAACCTTGGTCAGCAACACTTTCCACAGGTATGTATAAGAAGCACTCGATAATTGTCATTATTTTTACGTTCATGTCTTCATATCATCCTGTTCTTTGTTTCAGGTTGCTCATATAGCTCATTTACAACAACAAGCTCAACACCTGCAGAATCTACAAGTTCTCCAACAATCGCATTCCCTGTTGTCGCGTCTTCCACAAAATTTACTACAAAGTGGTACCCAAAGTCCTGCTCAGAGTACCGTGGCTGCAGCCAGTTTGGGACAACGTAGCCGCCTTCCACCACCAGGTTTCCCTGGTTCTACACCAAATCACATGAATTCTTTTGGTCTTGGTATACCGCGACCAGCTCCCACGAACGGTGCTCTTTCGGGTTAGTATTTCCGCGGTTTTTCAATAATTTACGAACCTCGTAAAGCTTTTTGTAAATATTTAACAAGAAATGTATACAATTATGCGTTTACCTTGCAAAGAGTATTCATCAAAGAATCAAATTGTAAAGACAATTACTTAATTGCAACAAGTTACTGTAACTAAAAATGTACTTTGTGGTGAGCAATAGTGTTATCCAAGTATAAAACAAATTGAATTCTTGTGACTTTGCAAGAACCTATATAGTATTATACATGAATCATTCGTCTAGTATGCTGTTTACAGGAGCGCAACCACCGCAGCAAAACGCCTATCTTCCGAATGGAAATCCCCTTCTGAATTCACAAGGTAACTTTCATTAATATTAACATTAATTACACATTTTATATTTGTTGTTTTATTAATATCTCACGCTCTGTTAATATTTCAATAAATAGGTATTAGTAAATGCGCGGGCGATGCAGTTTATACGCTTAAGGATTGGTGTGATATCAATAATCAGCAACAGCAACAACAATTTCATCATCAAACATTACATCAAAAAGGAGGATGGAACAACTTTGGACCTATCGCGGACTGGACTTCGATTGATCCAGCTATCGTTAGTTCTTCTAGGCCTCTTCCATTCCAAACTACCAGTACATGGCAGTTTCCACACGTTCATCCCACACACACTGTATCACATACTGCGCAACAGGTACGTAGTATTATATTATATTTTGACAGAAGTTTTAATAGTACAAATATGTTGCGTTACTTTTATCTTATCAAATATATATTTATATTTTTCTTCCTCCTTTAGGAACAACAAAACGCATCAACTCAACATTGGGCAATGCAACCACCCCCAGGTTTTGCTGCACCAGCGACTACGGGACAATTGAGTAATCAACAGCCAAGCACAACTACACAGCCGCACACCAAACTTATCTCTGCAGGATCGGAAATTGAAAGTAAGTTCCTCGTGCTGTGATTAAAACGTTTTTGTTTCCTTGGTTGTAGTAACGAAACATGTGAAACGTCTATATTGCAGATCTATAAATAAATATGAGTACGCGAACTGTACAAGTGTATGATAAAACATCCATACAAGACGAGATGAGAGTCAGCAACGATGCAAAACCTGACAGTCTGTTACGTACGTTTTCCTGACCCGTGTCTATATATTTCAATTCATTTTAATTCTGATACTTTATCTGTTTTCACTGGATAAGTAGTATTTATCGTTGAACAAGTATTGAAAGATGCTGAAATATAATTTAATGGATACTTTTTGAATATATGCGACGAATATACTCTTAAATACGTTCTCGATAATATTCTCATATTTAACCTATAGAAAATTTATGTCTGGCAGTCTTATTATAATTAAGTTTCACGTAGACCGAGAAACGCAGATACCAAATCAAAGGCAATGATCATGATTTAATAATTAACACGTAAACAAGCTATTTACACGTTTAGTGTAACGGTAATTACACTAAACAAAAAAATTTGTGTGTATATATATTATTCTGACTCAAGTAAACAATACAAGCGAAAAAAACAAAACATGCTTTTCTGTGTAAATAACATTTTCATAAGAACATGTGTCACGAACGAAAAAAAGTGGACAGATTAGAAATTCAGGAATTTTCGTTCTTAAAATCTAAAATAGGTGATTGTGTTACAACAAAAATGATCGATATTTAACACACCTTTTTATTTAAAATATAGTGGCGTATTACATTTATACTATAAAGTGCTTATATACTGGCAAACATTAGAACAAATTTTTTAACAGAATATTATCTGTTTGTCTGTTTCTGGACAAAAGATTTCTGTTATAAATGTATTATAAATATGTATTATTATTGTGAAAATGTGCAGATACACACATGCTAATAAAAGGAACTAAAGTGTAAAAAAAAAAAATAAAAACCAAGTGGGCTTTTATTTTTCTCTAAAAGGATTCCGAATTTAAAATTGTAATCATTGTTTTTCCTGCAATCTAAAATTCACGGATACGATTTGAGTTCAATTTGGAGCAAGTATCCGTTGAACAGATATATGAACGTTATCCGATGAATATTTTGCAACTTCTCGCATTCGCTTTAATTTTAAAGTGGAAAATTTATAGAGGAGAAAAAATATCACAGTGGTGCTGCGAAGGAATGTGTAAGAGAATTCTCAAGTATAGCATACTAGTTTCGACATTGATCGTGTATTACACGTTAAAGCTTATGCCAGACAAATATATAATTTTAAGTAGATACGTTCGTCGCATTTGTATTATTAGAGGACAGCTAACAGCATAGTAAAAGAAGTCTAAGTTCGATCAGGAGAAGAATGAAAACTCGGAAAACGACGAGCAACTGTCGAAACGATTGAAAACAGAAACAGTCAGCGTAACCGAATCTCGAGTGCATACAAAACGAGTATGATATATAAATATATATATATGTAACGAAACACGTCTGAATGATAGTACTATAATACGAAGCGTTAACGTCGAATTATTAAACTTTTGTGGCAGATTGTTAAACATATCTGCTGTTTTAACGCGATTAAGAAAACACGATACATATGCGAGAGAATGATTGAGATAATAAAGATATAATTATAACAAATTTAATTGAGTTAAGGTAATCGAGAAATATACGACATGCGCAAGAAATGAAAAGAAACACGTATTTTAATTAACAAGACCCTCTTCGTTTCCTTCGTTTTAAAGTTGACCTTGTACACATATATTGTTTTAAAATAATAGCACGGACAGAGTCAAAGATATCTTTAAACAATGCACGGAAGAATTATTGAGCATAAACAGTTCTAGAAAAAAGTGATAGTTTCTTAATATAATAAGTATAATTTAATTTTATAAATTGAGATATAGTAAAGATGCTTGTTTCACGAAGTGAAATTCACATTTATTAAATTCTGTTGTACAAATGACAAAATATGATTCCAGTAATGTGTTATATATCTTCGTTTATAACCTGTATGTAATTGTTCAAGTACGATACAATGATGATAGATGATACGTTTTTAAACCTATTCTACAATATACCTGCACTCCCTGAAAAATAATGCAAACAAAATTATAAATATTACTTAACGGTAATCAGTTATGGTTTTACCATTGTCTTATCACATATTTAAAAAAAAAAACTGTAAAAATCGTTTATGGAATTACTATTTAGCAAGTACTATTATCGAGTTCTCACGTGAATGTCTATCATGACTAGTTCCATAAAAATTTTGGAATTACACGTTATCTAGACACTCATAGAAACATAGCAAGTAGAAGAAACCGTCTTGAAAAAATAACAATTTACATTCTTTTCTTTTGAATGTGTTCTAATTTGTCTAATTCATACTTCTATATATATAGTTCCCGTAATTGGAGATCAGATCGTGTAAAAGTTCCTTTATACCAATTTTACTTCACACGGATATTCAACGTTAAATCTTATACACATGCAGACTTCAAGACTTGTATACTGTACATTTTTACTGTTTCATACTCGTCTTCGCTGTTGAAGAAACGAATTTTACTTCTACTGAAAGCTTAAAAAGACTGGGCAGCACAAATAATTTCGTTCAACGATACAACGCTGAAGTACTATGTTGGAAATATACACGTGGGTTTGTTGAATTAAATAGCAACAACAACGGCATAAAATGTAACTCGGGGTTCAGTGTAATGTATAACGTTTAGTTTGCATTCTTCTTTTTGCTTTTCAAACTTTTACGAGTCAAGCCCCAGAATGACCTAGGTTTCAAATGCTGTTCAACCGCTGTAAACTTCCATCCCAATTGGATACCGCAATTGTTACACGAGGCTATCGTCCAAGCGTATCTATGACAAAAGAAATTAGTCTGACAAACATGTAACGTTAAGAAATGAAAATAACATATACAATATGGTAGGGATGTCTACCCGGGGAACCACGTATATTCTGTCGTAGGTGGACTGCGACTTAGTTTGAGGCCTTGCGCGTGATACAAGGTCACGGTATCAAGTATAATTCCATTAGGATTGCAATAAGTGCCCTGTGGACCTTCCTTGCTCATTGGAAACATGTTCGACCGCTTTCCAATGTAGGAATTGCATTCGCAACAAACAAAGATCTTGTCCTGTAAATGCAGAAGCGTGGTTCATTAATCGTAACAGCAAAAAACGAAGGTATTTTGTCGGTAATCAAAGGATGCTCCTTTTACATACATCTACTAGATATTTAATCTCTTTCTGTAGCCTTGAAATTGCACAATCGTCATTTAATAAAACGACTCTTTCATTGTCGTCCAGTAATACATTTTGGGCAACCCAAAATGACAAATCTGTGGGATCTTCTGGTATAGTGCTTCCTCCTGTAATTGTTGAAAAAATGTTTGATCTAGATAACGATTTATTATGCCTAATTCTAGTAGAATGCTTACTGTCTTCAATGAACTGTAGGTGTTGCCGTATTTTTAAAGAAAGTCTCAATGGATCATACTGTCTGTATACCCAGGCAGGCCAAGGAGTAACAGCAGCATCTAGATTTTCTACTTTTTCCTGTTTTTTAAAATCCTCCTCAGTAGTTGGATGTATTCGTAAATGATCTAACGGGGCCAGACGTTCATCCAAGAATGGTGGTCCAAGTGTTATTTCTGGTAAAATTCTAACAGTGGCTCCTATTTTGTCATGGCCCTATGTATATATGTATGTACATAAACACAAGTATTGTGATAGATGTAATGATAGAAATGAAAGAGATAAATAAAAACTTAATATATACAAGCGATGAGTCGGTAGAATACAGATGAAAAGAATATGCATACACAACATACATTTAAAACGGACCTTTATTGCGACACGTATAATCTTGAACCGTTGTCTACCCTTTGCTTTCAAATGAAAACCTTGCGCGGGATCTTTGTACATACATTCATAAATTTCAGCAGTCGTGCCTATTGACGCCATTTTATCATGTCCTGAACACACAACACCTAAGGTACGATTGTTATTGATGCAAGTCATTAACATATCCTTGGTTGGTCTATCGATTACTGTCATTGGCAATGTTTGTCCAGGAAATAGCATAACTGATTCTTTCACCAATAATGGTAAGTGCATACAAACTCCAACGTCTAACAGCGTTCTTCCTCTAAGTGCTTCAAAATTCGACCCTAAATACTGGAAACACGTTTATACATTATAAGATATATCTATTGAAAAATAAAAAATTATCAAAAAAGTTAAGTCACTAATGTCATAAATCGAACATTTCTAGATATTAGTTTATAAATGAGTTCTATGGTGATATATAACATTGCACACACAGTAAGTACAGGCAGTTTTCACCTTCACGATTTAATTTATTCTGATTTTCTTTCATAAAGCAGGAACTACCTGGAAATTTGAAATAATACATGACACTATTACAGAGTCACTCTTAACAGCATCAGCATGGCAGCTTAACTGCGTAATGTAAATTGGATTACAAACAAATGCACGCATGTAAAAGTACAACTTAACAAAAGTTTTAAAGCTAGGATATAAATTTTGTAAAGCCAAGAATTCGTAAACCAAGAACTGCCTGTATTTACTAAAAGCATCGATAAATTTATTGGCAACTTACAGTATGCATTGGTGGTATATTCAAGTCAAAAGTTACTGCACAGGCTTCTTCTGGACATCCTGTAAAATATGTGTTGCAAATGTAATGTTCCATTAACGCATTACAGATGAAAATTAGGTGGATAACTGATTAGTATAATACAATGATACAACAATATCAATTTCTTGTAAAACGTAACCCACATAATAAGGGAAAGAAAAATAGAAAGTTAATTGTTTGAAGTCTCTTGACAACTCTAGATTTGCGCAATTTGAAACAATATGCGAAGCATTCATTACATAACCTTTAATTCTCTAACATAATTAAATACAACGAAATATAAATTGTTTAAACTGATATACCTAAAGCTTGATTCTCGCTAGATTCGCTAGACTCGCCGTCACTTTCCATGTCAATATCCATTGCGATTCACGTATTTGACGACGCTTGACAAATTTCCGAAAATTGTAAACAAACGGTACTTTTCCTTTCACAAACTTCAAACACGACAAGCCGTCTATTCACAATTCCAGCATTTACGTAGCAGTGATGGGAAAAACACTAGGCTTCGAATAAATCTGAAGTTTGCCGATATGTTTGTCTCGTTTCCTCTTTTGAAAATTTTCCAAAGAAGGAAACGAGACAAACATATCAGCGAACTTCAGATTTATTCGAAACCTAGGGTTTCGCCCATCTCTGTTACGTAGTCTTATCTATCCTGGTTTTCATGAATAAATATTCGCATTACACGCTGATTATCTTTTCGCGATCTAAATAAGTACTCGTAACTTACGTTCTCTACGCTATTTAATGAATCAGTAAAACTTATTCAGTAATGGTATGTGAATACACGCGTAAAACTTATTTTACATATAACATTGAACGCGTCAGGCAAGTATATCTCGCGTTATTTCCAGTTATTTCGAGAATAACAGAATTCTTCAAGAAAGTTCAAACATAATTTGCAACTACGCCTAGAAACCTAAAAATAGGAACACGGTACTATTTTTATTGAGAAAATATCGATTAGAGCTGGTAGTGGGTACGATAATTGTTAAAACTTGCAATAAAATTATTACTACCACTATTAAAAAAATATGAATGTGTTATTGGTATCTATTATTTTAAATTCTAATAATATCAGCTACGTTTCTAAGCACTTATATAAGTAATATTTTCTTTAAGGAATGTTTGACTTTTGCTAGAAATAAATTATCAACATATGTCCATAACAATGCATATATTTATATGTATGTATTTATTAATTCGTATAGAAATGTATACACAATAGCCTGACTATACAAATGCATTCTGTAATGTTAATAAAAATAAGAAATGTATTTTTCTGTTTTTTCGCAAAAATAGTATTGTAATTCAGGTACTAGAAGCAATTAGTAAATAAGTGAGTAACATACTATTATTAAAATTGAAAACAATGTCAACTAAGCAGCCACTATAAATTGTACATATAAAACAAAATAACATCAATTTTACTAAACTTGATATCTTTTAATTTACAATAGTAAACAATTTAAATATCTAAATATAAAGAATACATTTTTGGTAGTATTCGGAATAAATTAATTGTACATTAATCATGCTCAGTATTTTGTTTTTGTAATGTAATCATATCATTTAACTAATTTGTTGTATAATCCAAGGAATATAATTATATACATTCACATATACGCCAGGAACATTATTAGTAGCACAGCCAATACCCCATGCTACCATTCCAACAACCTGCCACTGTGCATTTCCAGTTTGACATACCAGTGGTGAGCCACCATCCCCCTAGAAAGATTGATTAATATTTAAATTACATTATTAGAATGTAGTTCACACACACACACACAGTAAAAAATTCTGTTTATTTACCGTGCATGCATCTTTTCCAGCTTCACCACCTGCACATAGGAAACTACTTTTACTGAGACTAAAATATTGTCCAAGTCTTGTTTGTCGAAGGGCTGTTTCACAAGTTGCTTCATCCACAAGAGGTACATCTACTTCTTTCATTGTACTTTGGTATCTTCCATTTGTACCAAATGCATCCTTTCCCCAGCCTGATACCCAGCATCTTCAGAGAAACATGTTACATACTTAACATTATTAATAAACACTGTTAGATACTAAATAAATACTCAAGAAAAATGGGTATTTGGTAATGGTAAATTGTACCATTGTAATTGTCCATTATATTTATCATGCTTCTAATTGTAGTGCATCTAAGAAGAGACAACTCAATGCTCGCGTCAGTCGCGACTTCACGCCCGTTAAGTCGTAAATTCAAACTATAATTCAAGGTTCCTAATAACTAGGTCTTGGCAACTAAGAATAGGTGAGAAGTAATTTTTACATCAGAACACTCAGCGACATACCCCTCCCAACATACCTCAAGGCCGGTCAAATCGGCGAGATTAGCGCTATTGTAAATAATCATCATTGCTGAATAAGTAGTAAAAAAAAAAATGAATATTTTATAATGATTATTTTTATATTGAACTTCAGGAGAACCTTTTCATCCTCACCTTGTACCAGCTGCAGGCACCGCTGACGGAAAACACACGGTGTTAATATTGGGACTGCTTGAAACGGGAACTGTGCCGCTTAACGTTATTACAGCTACGTCATTTTGAAGATTAACTGAATTGAAGTTCGGATGCACAGATATTTTCCGAGCTGTGTATTCTCTGACTGGATACATTTCGCTTGTAGATTGCCCATTCCATTCTCCTAATCTTATTTTGAGACCACCGTTTCTGCAATTTTTTTTGTGAAATATACTTTAAAAAATATTCATTTCAAATGGAGTAATTGCTTTTCAAGAAATATGTACTCATCTAATTTGTCGAAGAACAATGTTTACTTTTTATTGGTCAAGCGAAGGGTAAATGTAATTTACTTACGTGTAGGATGCAACTTTGTGAGCAACAGTGAGTACATGATTCGGAGTAATTAGTACACCAGAGCCTGCGTAAACATTGCTCGTCGTCAAAAGGACAGCTTGCCAAGGATATGCTCCATAACTTGCTTGACCTTGGGGATGCGAAGACGTTGGAATTTTTCGTACTCCGCAAGTAGGATCAACCAAATCTCCAGAAGAAGGCGTACAGCAACGCACTTGTCCGGCGGAGCAATTAGAATCCTTTAAAAATTAAAAATATTTGTTTTTAAATTAATACTGCAGTATATACTTAAAAATGTAAGTTTATATACTTACTGTATTAACGATTCGAATATCGATGTTCGTAGTACTAGAGGGACAATTACCTACTGCTACGCAAGTGCATGTCATGCCGCCGTTCATACCTTGATAAAAAATTAATAATAATAAATAAAGAATACAATTTAAAATGGAGAAGTCAAGGAACGAAATTCTTCACATACTTGATGACGAATTCGTCGAGTTGGCGTCGAAAATAATAGTGGTGTCCTGCGTAGAGACGCTGTTCCATAGAATACTGGAAACGAACAACGCTAATAGTATGTAAGACATGATTGAAGAAATCCAAGTCTTTTAAATACTTTGATATAGTTATGACTTAGGAACTTCGAAATATAAACTTTTTGACTGATCAGTGTACAAGTGGAAGGATGACAATTCTTAGTTGCCGGGTCTACATCGACTTATATAGAAGGAGGATACCCTAGCTATTACTGTGGTAGCATTTAGAACGTATTAACTCGTACATCCTTTCGGAACGAGATTAATGTATGTCCTTTCATAGATAAAAGAGCAAAAACGCTTGGGTGACAATAAAACGGGTAAATGTATCACCTGGCAATTTGACGGAAATTACTTCCGATCATAATTATGTCTTCATTTATGCATACAACGTGTATTGCAACACTGCAGGATTTTCGTAGTAAAATGCCTGAAGTGGAACAACTGAGCAAGGCCAGGCACGTTCCGCCGATTTGTAACGAAGAAGGTCAATAATCATCGGTTCACGGTGGTTGCGTTATGAATCATGTTATAATCGTGCCGGTTTTTCCCTTTCGCTAATTTTAACGATTTACATCTTAGCGACGCATAGCGGGACAAAATCATAGAGTAGAACGGTTAAATAATTTTTTAAATGGGCAATATGCAAACTGAAATGGAAAAATATTAACAGAAAGTTTTATAAAAATCGTCGTTTGACGATTTTCCCTTGTAAGTTATCACGAGGTCGATAATTCAGTTAGTATGATACAGTTGCCATAAGCTTTCTTACATCTTCTATCGGCAATATTGGGAGTGATGTAGAATGATAACACAAATAATAAATCTGCATCGATCATTTTATTTATACACCAAGTAGCTACATTACTCCGTTTCGAAAGTAGTATTTTCACGGTTCGTCTGTATCAGCTTTTTTTCGTTATTTTTTTCTTTCCTGAAAGCGTGGAACACTTGAAACATTATTGCTCGCACAGTCGTCAGCGAGACACTGAGCACGTCTGAACTAACAGGAGTACGTAAATACACGAAGATTGTTCGAAAGTTGTCTGACGTCACGTAAACTAGAAACGTAAATTTCGAAAATTCACCGTCGAAACATACCTCTGATATCAGTCAATCGATTGTATCGTATCCAGAGGTAACGATGATTACCTTTCAATGTAAATTCGTAGAAACTATCTAATGTGGTCGTAGTACAGAATGGTGCAAAAAATATAAAAATATCTGCAGTACTTGTACGCGGAACTTCTTAAAACGAAATTTGTTCAAAGCTCACTTTTTGCACCATCTCACTTTTGTTTCTTTTTTTTTTAATCTACATAACGCAGTAAAAAAAAAGAACTGCATTCATCTGCTTAGAAACAGAAATTCAAATTTCATAAGACAAGACCAAGACCAGATAAGATTACGACTTAAACTTTAAACACATTTAAAAAGTCATATAAAGTCAGAATTAACAGCTTCCTAACTAAGTTGGTACTTGACGGACAGTGCCTAAGAGGTAGTAGCAATTTTTTTCCATTGTGTTTGCACTGATAACGATAGAATCAGTTTTTCCGACCTCCTCGTCTCTTCATAGAAGATGTACATTGAGGACAGTACCACTTGCCTTTTGGCGGTGCAGTGATACCCACGCATGGATAGTGAAACCATTCGAATGGACACTGAAAAAAAGTAACGTGAAAATAGAAAAATCAAGCAATAGTATAAATGCGCGATGACAAATAAGAATTTCACTTACATCTGAATTGTCACACGCGACCATATCTCCATAAGATACTTGATTACATATACAATATCTTGGCTCGTTTGGATCGTACGTCCAATCTGGATTATCTGAATCCACAACTTGTGTATTCGTAGTTATGACTGGAGGTGATACTGGTTGCTGAACGGAGGTAGCAACTACACTCGAACTTGGAACAGCGGGCGTTACTTTTCTAAAATGCAGAATAAAATTGATTAAAAAAATTAATTAAATTCACGACTGTTTTCTTAAACAATGTTATTCTTAACAATTGAATTACTTTTTATGCTTTTTAGTAGTCTCTTGTATAGCTGCGATAGCCGTTTGAGCAGCACCAGCTAATTCTCTACTAAATTCAGCCGCGTGTACGCCACCAGTGTTGATGGCCTCGTAACTGGCCTTCAAACTAGCGGTGCGTCTGCCTTGTTGCATTTGCTGCGTTGCAGCGATAGCTTGGGATGCTGCAGCTGCTATGGCATTTCCACCAGCTCCTATGTGACCGAGGTTATAACTTACGGAGCCAACGGAATTTGCAATGGCAGTAGGGGTTGATGGCACGCTTGTAGCGGCGATAATTGGTCCTGAATTTGCAGAAGCTGGTCGCGATTCAGGAAGACTCGGTGAAATTTTTTCTATAGCTAACCGTTTCTCTATCGAAGTAGAGGATGCATTTGAATCTCTTCTTTTCTCTGCCCGAGCTGCAAATTATTCATATAATTACAATGAATCCTTTGTATATGTACACGATAATATCTGCACCTGGAAGGCACACAACATTATGTTGTAAACATGAAATTTCTAAATTCGAGGCCCTGGAAACGAAATAAATTTCGGAGGTAAATGAAATCATGACCTGCTATCATGAGTGTTATTTATTTTTGAGGAGAATCAAATATAGTTACTTTTTAAACATGCCTATCTGTTTTATTAAGAAGCTAGGACATCATTTCATATACCATTGGAAAGAGCAGAAAAAAAGAATAAGGAATCTATGAAAAGTTAATTTTTGTAAAAAGTGGACACTATGTCATATGCCTCCGGAGTACAGATACATAGTTTAGAATAGCGACGAAATAATTTACTTACAATGACTGTGATTGTCTCGTGACCTACTGGATGATGTGAAACTATACCGATTCTCTTTTTGACTACTATTTGTAGGTGGTTGATCTAATTCCAGTGACCTCTTTTCCAATATTTCTGTGATACCTTTATTATCTGCTTCTAGTTCCATTTTAAATTTGTGCAGTTCCTGATCTAATCTCCTCAAATATCTATCTACTAAGTCGTACATCTGATTAGCTAAGTGCACCTTTTCATCCGCATCCTCTAAAGTCTTGTAATACTCTCTTCTAATAGCTTCATACTCTGCTTCTTTTTCGCTAGGTTTCATTTTCTTTGCATTTGAGAAGAAGGTTTTTACTTTTTTTTCTAAACTGTCCATTGAATCTGAAACGATCAGAGCATTAAAATAATCAGAAAATGAAATAATATTTTACGTACACATAAAACAAAGGTTTCTTATAACATAAGATAGTACGTACTTTGTACACCTAAGTCCATTTCTCTCATTTCTGTGAATCGGTCTCTTAATTCTTGTGGTAGGTGCTCGATCACTGAAACCACAAAAGAAGGTCAACATAACCAAATAAAATACAAATAAAAAAGATCAATTATCTAAGAATAATTGACATTTGTACCACTTATACAATTGGTAAAATAATCGTATGCTATTCATTAGGTGTCTTGCAAGAATAGTTTTACTCCAAAATATACAATGTAAGATCAGAGAACGTATGGACCGTTTAGAAAACATATAACTAACCTAAAATTTATAGAGAATGGTATACCGTGAAAGTACTCGTATGACATGGTATTTAATATTAGGGTAAAATAAAAAGCAGCATTTAAGTGATTGTATGCGATAACGCAATGTCTGCAAAAATATTCGCTTTGGGAAAAGTTTTCGATATTTTCACGAGGTAGTATATTCGGAAAGGTTAGTAAGTTTCTTGAGAAGCTGGGTAAGCAAAGCATGTCTCGTTTTTACGTACTTTCGACATAATCTTCCAAGTAAAGCATCCTTTCGTGCTGGCACTTCGTTGCCTGGTGCTTAATTTACAATTATTTACAATTTACTAAAGGGGAGTGCTTGCCGCCGTGGCAAAATTAACGAAAATTGTAGCACTCGATCGGAAGCGTGTTTACGGCGGCCAAATCCCTTGTTGTACCCACATTTTCACGCTAGTTCTGTAAATGGTGCGAATCTAAGAATGATTCGTGCGAAATATCGTACAAAGAATGTCATTTGCGCGAAAATAAGTGGCTCAGTAATTAATACATTCGTAGCGATGCTATTTATTTCGGAATTATTACTGGCCAGTTATCTATTCGTCGTAATCCGCCATTTTAGCCTAAGATTCAGGGATGTATATAGTTACAGAGGCCTGGTGACCTGGCTAAAATATTCTCAAAATTATTTACTTACGATATTCCCATTCCATCGTCTCTATGAATTTAAATCGCAACACTTATTTTATATACTTTGTTTCTAAATTTTCCAACTTCAGTCCTTATTACGCACACGTGCGCTACATACTATGTTACAATGAATCAAAATTTATGTAGTTATCAATTTTTATTTATTTTACCATCTATTAAACGCGATGTAAATTAGCAAAAATATTTTGATAAACGCGTCAAATGTAGACTATATTTATTAATATGCATAAACTAATGTTTATTACAATACAGAAAAGATAAAAACTAATTTGTAAGCTAATTCCTTTAAATCGAAGTCGTCGATACATTAACCTTGCCAGAGTGTTGAGCGCATTTTTTGTATAATTGTGTTAGCCTTTTTTCTTAAACTTTTAAACTATAACAGTTTCCCTTGTGGGTTGCCGGTATTTTTGCTCAAATGATTAGCAATCTAGCGGTGATATGCCGAACTATTTTTCGTAGTGTGATCAGCGCCCCTGTCGGGAAAAAGTCCAAGTTTGTCGTCGAGATAGTTCCTATTTGTAGAACTAGATGGTGCCATCAGTATATTTTTAACGACTAGGGTATATATTCATAATAATTACGAATGCGATTTTATTACGTTTATAGTATTAAACTTGTAGTTATATCACAAGTATTATAATAATAAAATTTATCTAAGAAAATGTTTCTTTTCCCCTATTACATTGCAGTGGCGCCATCTAACGTCGAAAATGAAAACTATTCCACGACAAACTTGGGCGTTTTCCCAATAGAGGGCACTCATACTCGGAAAAATAGTTCGGTATTACACCGCTACGTAGCGACACTAATTTCCTGTAATAAGTGATTCGAAAGGATGACATTGATTGGCTAGTGACACCACTTGTTGACTATAGGAAAATGGCGGAGAGTTATCTCAACTGTCATTTTCAGTCATTTTCAGTCATTTTCCTTTCGCAACTTTGTCTTCGCTTCTTCTATTTCTATCCCCTGATATTTGATAACACACCATAATATATTTTCTACATAGTTTTCTTTGTGTATACAATCGCGTTATAGAAAGTTATGTAAAGTTAAGGTTTTCAAGGCAGTAATCAAGAGTAACCGGCGAGTGATTTATCAATCATCGTGCTGCCAACGTACCGTGTATACTAATTGGCGTGCAGTTTTTCATACTAAGAGGAAGGTGTCTTCAACTTTTCTCAGTAAAATGATACGACGCAGCCCGACGAGAATCGAATTACGCTTAGACGATCTGCAGGAGTACGAGACAATGAGGAAAGCTCTCGAAGCCAAGAAAGAATCTGAGAGGCAGCCAGTATACAATCCTCCCTCGTGGGGTGGCAAAGTGCCCCAAAGTGAAATCCAAGAACGCATTGGGTACATGCCACAACAGAACCAACCATCGCATTCTCGACCTAACATATAACTTCATGTTACTAGGTTATAACTTTATATTTATATAATATTAATATTAAATATTAAATTTATATATATTATAATATACATAACAGATGAAAGGATGGTTATTCTTACTTCCCTACTAGAAATTTATATCTGAATGAGAGATTTGTTGATCTCCAGTCATTAATTGAAAAAAAAAAAAGATTCACGCAGATTCATTTTTCCAGTGTTTATTGTAATGTTACTAAAATATACATGGCAGCATTTTTAGTTTCGTATAATAGTTCAGGGAGGTAGTAATAGAACATCAACAGTTGTTTAAGGTTAGTGACACATCTCCAACAATCAACAACACAATATGAACAATTGCAATATTCAACTACTTAAATGATATGTCTACCTTGAAGCATGATTCTTGAGCACTCTGTTGAAATAAATTATTGCTGTTTGAAAAAACTTGCGTGCAGCAAAATAGTCACACTTTACGATTAACGATCTATATTCGTCGGCCATTGAAATGCAAATTAAGTATCAAAGTTCGGTGTGTCATAGCACGCGTAATAAAGACTTAAAAAAATAAAATACACTGCTGTGCATCGAGTAAGAAATTATTCGAAATGCACGTATTGTCGTATCGTATGGTATAAGAGTATATTCTCCACAGAACGTGTTTCATCCTCTGAACCAGCAGAAAACTACAAGTACTCGAATTTCATATTGTACGCGAAAGTTTCATCGATTCCATGAATTAATTGCTATGATTTTCGCAGAGGACGACGGAAGGCGCGTCCCCGAACATTCTTTTACGACGACTATTTGTTTTAATACATTATAAACCTTTGTTGAAGTACAAATGCGTGGGTATATCCTTGTTTCCGCTATTCTTCTTCAAAACTTCATAACTTTCAGGCTCCCAGCGTTCCAAAGTGCTTGACTTAATCGAGCTGAAAAAAAATATATGTGCAAAATATACGCGTAACTTGCGTATGTAAATTGAAACGAAAAGTATATTAATGCGGTCATCCTCTCGTCGATAAATGAATATTGGATTTCGTATGGCGGATGTAAGTGTACTTGCATGTACTTAACACTCTAATAAATATTTGTTCCTTTCTTAAAGGAACTGATGATATATGATATGAAAATATTTTTGTACAAATAGAGAGACTAAGCGTATTCTTACCAATTTTGTGGAAACAGCGCACACGCCGTGGGCACCATGAACGTCAGACTGAAAAATTAACGCGAAATCATTTTTCCCGCGTTATCATCAGGACTAAGAAAATAACTTTACGAACAAATACTCACAAACAGCCAACCATCATAACTTGTATCGGTCCGTGCAACGGTTTGATCCTCTGCATCCAACAATATTGCTCTAGTCTCTCCATGATCGGTGGAAGAATCACTAACGAACAGAATTTAAATTTCATTAGAGCAACGCAAATTACGTTCGACTTTCTTTTTTGCGTTTCAATCCAAGTATCCACTTACGCATGCCGGGCGCGCACATAATAATCCTCGAGACTACCACTTGGCCGATACCTTTGACCGCCGCGATCTGAAAGTAATGTATTCGTCGTTGCATGATTCGGTGCGTTTCGCAGCGCAACTCAATGTATTCGATTCAATCTACCTTCGATTTTGTAAGTTTGTTGCCGTTCTCGTCGCTGATCTCGATCCCCTGGCTTATTTCATTCTGCCTCATCAAGGGAATGTTCACGCAGTTAGCTGCCGCCACCGCGGCGAATGGCACGTAACGCTACAAACAAAATAAATAATCAGACGTCGCTATCTTTTTTCTTCTTACTTTATGCACTAGAGCTTTAAAATGATGGAATTTTTTTAAAAGATCTGTGCTAGTAGCGTCGCTAGTTCGTGCATAGTATACAGATACAAAGCAGTATAATTTTGTAAACTGTAAAAAAATTCCAGCCTACCGCCATGAGTGGATTGGCTCGTTTCGCCCAGAAAGACTTGCATCCTATCGCTGTTATCATTGCAGCCGTGGTAGCACTCGCGTAAGCCAACCCCAACTGAAATTCCGTCGTGGGACTGTTTGCATTTCTGTTCGTGTAGTTGACTAAAGCGTTGAACGACTGGTTCACCCACTGCCAGAAAACCACAGCGGTGGTTGTTCTGCAATTAACGATACGATGTAAGATTCCCGTCTTATTTATAATTTACTTGCGATCATGTAAATGTCTCTTGGTTTATGGAATTTAAACGGTGATGTTTAGATTTATGGACGGCTCTGAAAAATTTACTTGTAAAATTGAAGCATGGCCCCGGTTACAGCCATTCCTCCTGGCACTTGAAAGGACATTCTACCGAAGACATTCTGCAGGTCGCCTGTGTCGGGATGAAAGGCTGACTCGTAAAGCTTCTTAGCATAGATGATTTGCTCTCGGGTTGTACCAGCTGGCTCCTTCCCAAGTCTAAGGGATAAACGTACTATTGATTTTCGTAGAAGCAGAAAAAAGGAACGAGTACAATACATTTGACTACATACACAAACTACAAAACTTTAGTACAGTAATTTGTTGTTATATTCATTTTTGAATTTTCAAAAAAAAAAAAAAAAAAAAAAAAATGGTACTACTTGTAGACACCCGTAACGTTTGCGACAGTATCTCTTCTCTATTGGTAGTTGAAAAATAATTACATTACATATTTTAAATACGCAGTGTGAATATTAAAACTAAGTTACGGCGGAAGTTTAACGATGAATATTCACGGCACGGAAATAATGTTATTGCATTTAATGTGACTCTTAGGACACCTTCAAGCATCACGTGCTTTTTTTTTTTCTTCAATCAATTGTGTACCAGAAACGTTGCACCAATCTTGAAACGTTTAATACCGTAAAGTACATTTACTGATAACGTTCGTTGCGCAACGAAAGGTATTCAATTCTGAGTCAAATGTGTTAGATCACGCTGGCAAAACGTTCCTATTTATCACAAGCACGATCGTGAAACAACCTCGACGCCCCCGCTCTTTATGGTCAAAATTTCATTCGAACGTAATTTCTGAAATTTATTCGCAGAATAAAATGGGCCATCATCAACGTTTCCCTGTAATTGGCCTATTTTTATACCATCAGCCCTCATATTCGTAGCCTGCGCAAAATTGGCTTCTATTCAAACAAGCTCAATCCGTCTCCGTCGTACTCACTTGTAGTCTTCGCATAATTTCTTCGCTTTGAGCAACTCTGATTCAGGAACGACGCAAGTCCTGAAGTCAGACATCCAAGCAAAATGCTTCCATCTCCCCGCGAACGTAGTCACATCCCACAGGGGTTTCTCTATGTCCAATCTTTCTTCCCCCATTTTCGTCGATCGAGGACTACTGTGGCCTCAACCTTCATCAACAGTCGTAAAAACACTGTCGATTAGTAACAGTAAAAAAAAAAAGAAAAGAAAAGAAAAGAAAATTAAAAGAACGAATCGATAAAAAATAGTTTTGTTCGCAAATTTTTTCAAAACAACGATATCGTTAATCGAGTATCACGTTCAATAATCGACGAACGAGTACAAACATCTTTGACCTCTCAAGATCTTAAAGCCCAAATTATTATTTCTGCCGATTCATTTTTTTTTTTTCACATTTAATTTGCTTTCGTCGTATTTTGAAAATTCAATAATTTGTACGTATCTAAAGATGACCTTGAGAAGCGGAGAACATTTACCAATGAACTCGTTTGTCGACGAATAAACATGTTGATTGTCCGACTGTAACGCATTCAAAAAGAAAAAAAGAATTCGATGAACTTTCGGAGGCCTCTTAACATCATATTTATAGATGCCAGTGGAAGCGAGCTCCACGCACCGAAATAGTCATAACAAATAATAAGACCACGTACTTGGATTAAAATTCGTTATCAATTGAACGCAATTTCTCGACATCCGTTGATGTTTTGATAATACGCAAGAAAAACTGAATATTACTATTCGTTTACGTAACAACATTTTGTTAAAAGGTGCTCAAATCTATAAACAATATACGTCTAAGAAATGCACAACTATCGTTTATACAGTAGCCGTGTATCTGTTTTGTTTTAACTTTTGAATTTCGAGAAACCACCTTTAGAACCGTACACTTATCTCGAATCCAAGATAAATTCCACTTGCAAAATAAATGATAACAAAAAGAATTATATTTCTAGATAACGTGAAATTTTTCCTAATGCACATTACAATCGCGAAAATGCATAACACGATACGATAAATTTAGAGCCATTGTACTTTGAACATTACATCCACGGTGTCAATAATCTTATTATCTTACTGCATCGCTGTTCCGTGGAAACAATTTAAAAATAAAAATTTATGTATTTTACATTGTCTTACTGTCACTTGTAATTTTACAGATACAAAATAAAAAGAAGTAATGGAATTTAATGTATATTAAAACCGTAAATGTTCGCGCAACTTTTAAATTAACTTTCTTTCCCATCGTACAATTTAAAACGATCGATGGGATAGCAGATGTATCGACGGTTTCACACTGTTTACCATGGACCGGTATGTTCAACGTTCAGTGAGACTTTAAACGAATATTCGAGCCTCGTGAATCGTAATACGAACATTAGCAGACGATACCCGAATCCGATCCATCGATCGATACTATCGTAACGCACGTGAGCCACTCGATTTTCTCGGTTGTCTCGATAACCAATCGTGTACACTTGTGTCGATTCCCTCCAGGGCCGGTTCTACAGTTGCTGGCGCCCCCTTTTCACGTTAGAAATTAGAATAAACGAAACCTGAATTTTTAAAATTAATATACAATTATTATTATCGTTCAAATTATTTGATAAATGTAGGCTGTGTTCTTTTTAAATTTACTTTCCTCAATTTAAAGTCAGAGATAACACTAATGGGTGTTAAGAGTTCATTTTTTTAAGAATATATTTAGGATGAATTATGTTGATGGCCTTACGTGAACTCTTTTAGTTCCAAATTTCGATCAAATGTATAATCAGTATTAAATTTCCATCAAGATTTATCAAGACGAAGATATAGATTAGGTATTTAACAATTTCACATCGTAACGAGCAATTCACGAAAGGATTGGCGAAGCTTTTTAAATTAGGATGATCGTCAACAATTTCATCAGTTTACATGTAAAGTTACACTCGTACAACGTTTATTAATTTAGAATATTTTTCTTTTCGTCCCCAGTGGGTGCATCGCTTGTTCCCACACGAAGCCGGACCTGGGCTGCCAGCAGCGATTTTTAACTTTGCTCGAAACGCGGTATAACCTATGAAACACCAGTCCCGAACATGCGTCTGTCAACCAGTGTGCGCGTTTCGTTCGTTTTCGCGTGACACGTCTTCCCTGGAATTCCCAATTCTCGTTCAATGTCGCGGCAAGACGCTCTGCTCGCGAACAGAATTTCGTGCAGGGTGTTCGAGCTCATCGCAACGGTTATCGACCAATTCATTGTCGAGAAAAGGTGGCAGCCGTCGAACGACCCAGTTTCTACCGAAGTGCCGGCACATTTTCATTCAAGAACGAAATCGCGAAGAAACCCGGCGAGCATCGTGCCATTTTCCTCTCGTCGTTGGCCGCGCACCACGTCGAACTATCCGTGCACGCACGTACGCATTATGCAACTAATTTTTTCTGACAGACATGATTTTTTCTCGTACGCTTACCCGTGAAACGCGCGTGTCACTTCTGGAGGCCCAGCCCCGTTCTGATCTTCACCGTGAGAGCGCACGCGACAGCTGATCGGACGGCGCCCTACGCGAGCGCCAGCTATCTCGATACGCCCCTGCTTTTTCTCCCTCCAACATCTATTTTTCTATATAATTGTCATATCGTTGACGTTCCGCGCGCCCCGTGTTGAAACGTCCTTTTCTTTATAGCACGTCGAATTTTGTCAGGAGATCATTTTGATACATGAGAATTTTGTTTGCGTAATTTAATGCGTGAAATTTTCTTTTTGGGCTTTGAAGATGAGATGGTTCTTTTCATGAGATCCGTAATTGTAGTAAATCACTTTTCGTGTGATTCTTGATCGTTTCAAATGGAGTTAGTGTTCGAGATTTGCAAGCGACTTTCGTTTTTCTAAGCTAGATAGCACATTTTCATTTAGAATCTGCATACTTGATTGTAAAAGTAAACTGAAATCGACTTCTCGAATGAATGCGTAATGTTTACAGTGAATCGTCTATTGAATTATTTTGTAACGAAACTTTCAATAATTTTGACAATTGTGAATCATCTAAGGGTAGAATCGAAATTTAAAGATAACGTGACTTATCAGCTTTTCCAAGGTCAGTTTCATCGATAAGTGCTGGCAACGATAAAAACGTATCTATATCTTAATGAATATTATGTTTGAAAAAAGACCAGTTCAACGACCTCTGATTCGAGGTCATTCAAGGTCAATTGGTAACACCTTAGTAGTCAGGTGTTTCGGAAAATATTATTCTTAGAATTTTTGTTTTACTTGTTTGTAATTAGAAATAATATTTATCTAGAATACAATTAAACTACTACATGTACGCGAGTGTTTAAGAAGCGAGGTTGCAGCTAGAACTGGCATTTTAAAACCCAACTATCGTTACGTGTATACAACATATGTTTCCGAATATCGTGTCAGTTTGAAGAACGCCCTAAACGCTCGATATGGAGTGCGCAATATTCTGAGTTGCGCAATAATATTGACAATGTAGAGCTAATATCGGAAACATACGCATACTTGTCCGCTCAAATGGACTTCGTATACTCATTACGTTACTGTCCCGTTTACTAAACAGTATCGTTAAAATATTGTCATATGTAAATAACGCTGATTAGACTCATCATCGAGTTTTTTATCCTCTTCACGGCACCTCTGTGTCGACGTTTTTTCTTCGATTTTTCACGTTTGTCTCGTTCCTTGCATCGTTACTTAAATACAAAATTTCGAATAAAGAAAAAAAGGAAATTCTGCTCGTTCCTCTAGAATCTAGAGGAGGTATCTAGAGTCTAGATACTTCTTTGTCAATGTTATGAAAACGAAGCATAGAGAGAAAGTTTAAATAACGCTTGGAGGTCAGCGGACAGTATCAAGTTCACGGGCGCTCCTGTCGAATTCCTGAAATGTCCGTGGCGTGATTTTCTTTAGCGACATTCTCGTCGCTTCGCCTATCTCGCCACCATTATGCTTCTTTTGTTTTCGTTGCCAGTAGAACACGGCCACTGTGCACGAAAAGTTGGTGCAAGCTGTACGCTTCCGTGCTCGCGAAAAGTGGAACTCGACCTCGTTCATCACGCGTCACCATATTGTAGCTAAAACTGTCACGAATTATTATTTCGTAATATTTATGATGTAGTTTCGGTTCGCATCATCTCCCTGACCGTTGCTTAGCTCTCACTGCAGACTTCCGGTGGCCGTTCTGCGATTAATAGATGAACGTGGGATACGTGACGGAAAATTATTGTCTATTTGGTACAAACGTACTCTAATAATCAATCACGTTACTTTATGTTACTTTGCTGATATAGGTTATATTGAAAATATCTTATTTCTTTAGTTTCAATATAAATTCCCAGTAGAGTTCGAAGTATAAAGTTAAAGTAAGGATCACGAAGATATTGTCTCGCAAGACAAACAAGCTTTAGAAAAAAAAAAAAGCACATACTCAATCATGTTTCAATTAACGTCGACTGGAGGGACAGATCTCGAGATCTTCGTGGCTGTGGTATCGTTTAAAAATTGAAGATAACGTGGTCTCTTTGTTACATTCGCTTACAGCCATGTGCAAAGCTAACAATAAAGGTATAAGAAGTGGATGCATTGTAGAAAGAGATGAAACGAAAGTTGCAAGTGTCAAAATGTTCGACTCGTACAGAGATAAGAATGCTAATGAAACGGATTTAGAAGGAATATGTTTCTGTAAGGAATAGTGGCTCTTTCAGGCTTGTCCCCACCATACCACGAAGAAAGGATGCTTCCAAAAAGTATGCGTGCGAGAGTGATGTATCTAGATCGGGCACGTATTGTGTGAAAGAAAATTATACTAAAAACCGGATGGTCAGCGCATCCTGTCTTGGACAGGATGAATTACAAGCGGAAATTCATGTTCAATTAAAAGTCGAGAAATACATCGTCCAAAGTAGGCTTTTCTTTTTTAACGTTACCTTCTCTGTGGTGTTTGTTAGTCGTAGGCGAAGGGCGTTGGGAACGGGATCTACGGTCCTGGAACAAAGTACAGTACCGTACGAACTGTTCGTTGACCCAGTAACAGTTGACATGTGGGATACAGGATTTGTCTTAAATAAAATTTTCCAATATTTCATAGCAGAGTATAAGTATATCATACGTAAAATCTCGTGTAGATCGTTTATCTATGAAACGAAATATTTCATAACGGACAATTATGGATTCAACTATTAAAACGAATAAATGAGAACAATAAATTCCTGTACGTTGGTTTTAATCTACGTTACTCGAATAGATTAATAGAATATTGTTCGGCTTTGTAGATAAGGGATTTTGTTAATTTCTGGTAGAATCAGAGGCTCGATGACGTCGCGTTACGTCCCTGGGTGTGGGTAGTGGGAGTAAGAACGGTGCGCATGCGCGTGGAGGCGCGAGTGCCCAGCTGTGCGTGGACGTGAAACGCGGCGCGACCGACGGTGGTGGCTGCTAGGAAAGCAAGCGAGCGAACGAGCGAGCAAGCGAACCAGCCAGAGACTGCCCTCCTGTCTCCCCCACCCCTAGCATGCCTTGGAGAGCCCATGGCCTCCGTACACACGGAGGAGAGTGAGCCCCAGCCGCTCCTCACGTCATCCGCTGAGAGAGAGACGACGAGGCCTCGACACGGCGAGGAGCAATAATTCTAACGAGCCAAGATGGCGGCGGACACGGTGGCCCTGTCCGCGCTCACGCTCGCCAGGGGCGACAAGATCCTCGTGACCGTCGAGTCCGCGCTACCGGACATCGTCGTCGTGTCCTTCGTTCACGGTGCCAAGTGCTTCCAGGGCGCGTTGCTCGACGCCACCAAGAGGTAAGCGTTCCTGATAAAAACGTGAACTTCTTCGTGCCACCCGACTCTTTTTCCTTTCTCTCTACCCCGTCGCTTTATTCTCTCGAGACTCGATTTCACCAGGTCCTCCACCCTGTCCCATTCACGATCCCCATTCGCGAATTCGTACGAGAAACGAGCTTGAATTTCCGACCGATGGAAGCTCTGAGCGTGCCGTGTCTCGCGTTGCTCGCAGGCAAAAGTCTCGGGGGCACGATTGTTTTCCCGTGTCTGTGTGTACATACATCGTGTTTTCACGGGCTGTGCATCGTATGTCACGCATGTGTGCATGTGTGAAACGTGTTTGATAAGAACCCAGCGGACGGAACGATGTCTTCGTCGACGAATTTCGAATTAGATCCGTAATTAAGGCTGCCCGCATTCGCTGGCCGTCGGCAAGCGACGGACGACGATGGAAACTTGCCGTTCACTCGTCGCTTTTTGTTCCATTCAACGGGATGGTCCTCACGTGTCCGTGGAAACAGTGATGTTACGCGCGATTTGATTACATTTAGGGGTAAACGTGTGCCAATGAGTGTAATGCCTTCTCAGGAGTGGTAGGATCGAGCCTGTTCGTCGCGTGGTTCGCTTTCCGTCGGAGTTGGGCACGTTGAGTCTGGGTAACAAAGAGGATCGACGAATAACGTGTTATCTAGATAAATTTTCAATAGTCGCAACTATTTGTTACTCGTTTAAATAACTCCGCAAATAACGAAGATTAGTGGATGCATATCTGTTTGTCAGGAGTTAGAAAACAATCCTTTACGCACGTGTTAGTGGTTTGGTGTGTTGTGTGCGACTTCTCTGTAGTGTAAGAGTTTAAAAAAAAAAAAAAAAAATTACACAAAAATCAGACATGCCACACACAAGTACCACCTGAAGTACTTCGCGTATACATCCTCCAAACACGTGTGTACGTAAACAATTGTTATCTTCGCAACGAATAAATATTTATTCAACCGTCTTCGTTATCCGTGTAACGAATAACCTCTTATTCGTCGATCCAGCTCTGCGTTCCACGTGCACACCACCATCATGGTGAACTCTGTTCGTAGTTCTCTCTGTTAGGACTGTGCACGTTTCGCGAGTACCGTGATTCAACTCGTAAAAACGACGGCACTTCCGGTGGAGTTGTTGCACGCTTACGTACCGTCGCGATTACAAAACCGCCGCAATTGGGACAATATAAATTTTCGTTACCGAAGATTTCCACGTGAAAATCGGGGATAGTCGTTGGCCACGGCGGTTACGTGCTGTGCATGTCGTAAGTCTTCTCATAAAGCGGCTTTTGTTCTGCAAACGGAAGTAGTTTTACGACGACTCGTGTCTTGCGACTCGCACGAAGCTCTCGCTTGGAACTTTTACGATCGCGAAAGAAGCCAGCATCGCGGTCATTCGTTAAGATTCTATTTATTCGACCGATAAGCTTAGCGTTTCGCGTAGGATGTCGCTCACCCTTGTTTCCCTGGCTTCCGCCCATGGATTCGGAAATTTCTCTACCCTGTCTTCGTTTCTTCGTCGTCAACAAGATTAAGGACGCTTGTAGCGGTCGTTGTATCTGTGAAACGTAACTAATCCCACGGTTTCAGGCGTGTATATAATATTCCCTCTGATGTATCATTATTTTACCGTATTTTAAGATACATTAAATATTGCAATATTAATTCTAATCTCAGACGAATCTGTGCGTATACTCATATCGATTTTTTTATTTCTTCGTATCGTCAAAGCGTTGAATCAATTTTCAATTATAGCGTAATGCTTTTGTAGCTGGATAATTACGTATTACTTTCCCAATTGTTCGCACATATACAACATCTTACGAATGAACTAAACGTGATTTGAATCGTTACGATGTCTCGCGTATATTTAGAATTTTAATACCATCGTGCAAGTACAGTCTCTATTCCTTTATTGTCTACAAGATTACAACTGCCGAGGGCAGCCAGCAGAGTAATTGGGATAGGATAAATTATGACTCCGTAGGTTGACATATGGTTTCAGGTGTGTGATGGAAACAATACGATACTCTCCCCGTAAATTTATGAATTCCATAGCATGCGACGAGTCTGGTTTCCACCAGCTGTTGAATTTTAGTAGATGGATGCATGGTGTGCCATCGTGGTCAACAGTAGGCCAGTGTAAACAATTCTCTGATGAATGAGCTGTTGCGAACGGTTAACGGATATTGTATTTAGAGAGTGAATCAACACTCAGAAATTAAAAATCGTACCGAAATGAATAACTTTCTAAATATCGATCGCGTTATCGATGCCGTACACCCGGCTTTTTTCACATCTTTTTAGCTTTCGAACTCGTATAAATATAGACTATTTCTTTATGTACAGGGTATGTCAAAATTATATAAACACTTCTATCGGATGTTTACATCTTATAATTTTCCGTTTAAATTATTGGTAGCGTTATTTACAATTGATTGAATTGGTATCTATCTTTACATAATATTGGCTGTGGCGATAATAAAAGTGAGATAAAGATCAATTTTAAGTTGCTGATAAAGTCTACTCGATGACTCGATAGGTGTTTCAACTTTCTCGAACGACGTTTTTTCGCGTTTCGCGCGGACGTATCGAATCTCTTTCTTTTCGTCTTCAAGGTGGTTGGAGATATATCACTGGTGGATTTGAAAAAGGCCCCGTAGCCGTGAGTCATGCTCCACGCATAGCGGACGCTGCCTTGTCCGTACAGTCATTGCTGATTTCACTCCACTGCGGTGAAAATATTCAGTTTGACGTGGAACTGATTGTAGCTAATTAAAGACTCTTTTATGGTGGTGGGATGAAACATAAAGAGACGCCTATAATTTAATTCGGTTGACTTCGGTTAACTTTTATCGTCGCGGAGATTTCTCTTCGCTTTCGAAAAACGAGCATGATACTTATAAAATTAAACCATTTATTTGGTGTAGAAATTCATTCTGTATTCGATCATTTATAGCTCTTGTTTAAATAGATATACTTTCTCGTCGTTTTTGTGTAGTAATACATACATAAATTGCGATCACTTGGGTCTCCATAAAAAAAAAAACATAAATAACAAGTGAATTTCTATGCCCGATATTAACATATTAAATATACAACGTGGTAAATCTCTATTTATATTACAGAAGCAATTTTTATTTGCTCGCCCAAGCCATTAATTACAAGCACATTATTATTCGCGATCCACGGTTGCGAATCTCGCAACGTCGAACAGGAAAAATTAATTAATAACCTACGGGCGAAAAAAATTACGAACGGTATTGTAACCAGGGCCGCCTGTATTTTAAGTTTCGCTCGGCGTGAAGTTACACGAAATTTTTAATTAACGCAAATACAACTTCGCGTCGCCCGCGTATTCAACCCCTGACAAAGTAAATTTTACCGAAGTCATTTTCCTCGTCTAATTATATTACCATAGTGCTCGCATCGCGACGTACAAACGCGCGTGATAAGAGTAGTGCAATAATCTCGTTCTCTTCATCGCACTGTACAGTGTCTGGGGAAGTGAAGAATGTGGTGTAACAGGGGCTCCTTGAGTATTCCAACGATTCTAGTAACTCAATTACCGGAGCAGCTCGATTATACTCGAAAAACAAAATTACTCGGGCTATCGAGTCATTCGATTTATCAAATTTTGACAATAAAATTATTGCGTAAGTTGTGAAAAGTCCTTGAGTATTCCAACGATTCTAGTAACTCAATTACCGGAGCAGCTCGATTATACTCGAAAAACCAAATTACTCGAGCTATCGAGTTACTCGATTTAGAAAATTCTGACAATAACTAGTCTAGAGTAACTTTGTTACTTACGTGGATCGAACAAATACAAGAAACTCGGCTATTAGATTAACGTGATATAATTTGTGCGATTTAAGTGGTCGCGTAGCCTGCGAGAAGTCGAATAATTCAACTGTTTGAAAAATAAGTCGGTTGTCCGAGCGGCTTTGAGAATCCAAATAATTTTACCGTTTGAGTATGTTTGAGAGTGCTCGACCCTAATCCTGACCTCTTCGTGTGTAGCTCGAGTTGCTACTGACGCTCGAGCTTCGGTAATAATTTTAGTCTACGCTTCGCGAATAATTTTCGGTACGTCGAAGGAAGAACGGACGACCCGACCGGCGAATATTAATATAATTTTCAATCGATCCGAACACCGGTGTCTCTCCCCTCTCCTTCTTGTTCCCCACTCTTTGTCTGTTCGCCAACTCTTCCTACGAATTCGTCCTTTCGGGTTCTGCGCCCTATTCACCTTGTCCAAGCTTTTCGTCGTACGCTCGAGCAACTTTACATATTTTTCACAAACACGTGATCGATGACCGCGCCGTGTAATGTATTACCGGCTCCCTAGAGCCCGCCAGAATAAAAAGGAATCACGCTCGCCGCTTCCCGACGCTTTTTCCATTACGTAAGTGTATCATCGCGATGCTAATAATACGTTGGCGTCCTATGATGGATTCTGTCACGGAATTCGCGATATCTCCCCCGAATCTGACCACCCCGAGCCCACCTCAAACAATTGTTCGACGTGTTAATTGGCCAGACCGGGGCCAAATTTCATTCACGAGTGGAACGTTTATATTCGTTTAAAAAATGGAACATTTGTTATTCGCAGCACATTGACACGCTACCGACTTGTATCTATTTATTTTCTTCTCCGCTTATAACAATAGACGTATCGAGTGTAGAAATTCATGGCACAACAACCATTCTTAACGATTTGATCCGCAATAACATTCAAGCACGAGTCGCTTTACGGATTCCGACTCGTGGAATTGTATCAGAAGATAATGATAATGATACGCGGGCCTCGCCGCACGTTCCATTTTTTGCGTAATTAATCCTCGCCCATTCATTGTCTGCTGATAAATTCGCAGGTCGAGATAATCACGTAGCCAATAACGCGGTAAACAAAACAAACGAAAGCGCGATTCCTTTCGCGTCGAATTACGCAATAGTCATCCGATCTTTATCTAAGAACAA